TCCTTGGCGGAGCCAAGGTGGCTGACAAGATTCAGCTGATCATGAACTTGCTGGACAAGGTGGACATCATGATCATTGGTGGTGGCATGGCCTTCACTTTCATCAAGGAGGCTGGTGTTAACATTGGCGCCTCCCTCTATGATGAGGAGGGAGCCAAGTTGGTGCCAGACATCAAGAAGAAGGCAGAGGAGAAGGGTGTTGAGTTGATCCTGCCAGTGGACTTTGTGTGCTCTTCCAAGTTTGGAGAGGATGGCGAAATCAAGGACGGCGACATGGAGACAGGTGTCCCAGACGGCTTTTTGGGCTTGGACATTGGTCCCAAGTCCATTGCAATGAACGACGAGGCCATCAAGAAGGCCAAGACAATTGTGTGGAACGGCCCAATGGGTGTCTTCGAGATGGCCTCTTTCGAGAAGGGCACCAAGCAGATGATGGAGACCATTGTGAAGGTCACTGAGGAGGGAGCAGTGTCTGTGATTGGCGGAGGCGACACCGCCACAGCCTGCAAGGTCTACAAGACCGTTGACAAGGTCTCCCACTGCAGCACTGGTGGAGGTGCTTCCCTGGAGCTCTTGGAAGGCAAGGTGCTGCCTGGTGTGGCCGCATTGGATGACAAGTGAGGGAAGTAGATAGATTGACTAGAATGTTACAGTGTTCAGTTTCTTGATCGCGTTGAATACATTGGCAACTGGCCTAGCATTCATGCGGTATTTTCTTGAATGACTCTTGCCACAATCAATTTTTCCCATACAGCATTTGCAGAAAAAGCATTGAATGTGCGAGAGACAGCACATGTTTCTGGATGTGCCTTGATTTTGACAGAAACGCACACACACACACCCACACCCAGACACAATTGCGCACACACGCTGGAGATACAATAATATACTACACATGTCTGGGATATTTTGATCAGCAAGATACATGTGCAAAAGCAACTTTGTCATTTTTCCAAGATGCAGGGGATGGAATCAATATTGAGAGGTGTGGTTGGCATGAGAAACACTAGGTGCACGCAGCATCAACATCAGCATTTGGTGCACTTGTCCCGCAGCATTTTTGCGAGAACCGTGCTGTAGTTGAACTGCTGTCCCGAAGTCATGGCACGCGCCTCGAAGGTTGCTGTTGGCTCCGTGCTGGGAGCAGCCACCCTGGGTGGTTTGTCCTTTGTGGCCCCAGGAAGTCGACTAGTTGAAGTCGAGAACAAGGCAACTGCTGCAAGCCAGAAATTCCTCTCTTCATCAGCCCCTTCCAGCAGCTCCTCCGCAGTGCAGGGCCTGAGCGGTGCCTTGGCAGTTGGAGGACTCAGCGTGGCTGCCATCCGAGGAGCAGCAGCAGCCTCTCGCCGCAAGGGTGTTCAGCCAAAGGCTGCCCAGAACGTGGTTGCTTGCAAAGCTTTGGCCAAGAAGAGCATTGAAGACATTGATCTGAAGGATCAGCGAATCTTCATCCGTGTGGATTTCAACGTGCCTCAGGACAAGAAGGACCCCAACATCATCACCAACACGGCACGAATTGATGCTTCACTGCCTACCATCAAGTATGCCCTTGAGAAGGGTGCCAAGTCTGTGGTTTTGTGCTCTCACCTCGGCCGTCCAGATGGTCAGAAGAACGAGAAGTTCTCCATGAAGCCAGTTGCAAAGGTGGTTGAGGAGAAGCTGGGCAAGCCAGTGAAGCTGATGCATGATGTGGTTGGCCCCGAGGTTGAGGAAGCATGCGCTGACCCCGAGCCAGGCACCGTGATCCTCCTGGAGAACTCTCGCTTCTATGTCGAGGAGGAGGGCAAGGGCAAGGATGCTGATGGTAACAAGGTGAAGGCAGATCCAGAGAAGGTGAAGGAGTTCCGTGCTTCCCTTGCCAAGCGGCTGACATCTACTGCAGCGATGCCTTTGGCACTGCACACCGAGCACACAGCTCCATGGTCGGAGAAGGCTTCCCAGTCAAGTGCTCTGGTTTCCTCCTTGCCAAGGAGCTTGACTACTTTGCCAAGGTTGTGGACTCTCCCACCAGGCCTGTGTGCGGCATCCTTGGCGGAGCCAAGGTAGCTGACAAGATTCAGCTGATCATGAACTTGCTGGACAAGGTGGACATTATGATCATTGGTGGTGGCATGGCCTTCACTTTCATCAAGGAGGCTGGTGTTAACATTGGCGCCTCCCTCTATGATGAGGAGGGAGCCAAGTTGGTGCCAGACATCAAGAAGAAGGCAGAGGAGAAGGGTGTTGAGTTGATCCTGCCAGTGGACTTTGTGTGCTCTTCCAAGTTTGGAGAGGATGGCGAAATCAAGGACGGCGACATGGAGACAGGTGTCCCAGACGGCTTTTTGGGCTTGGACATTGGTCCCAAGTCCATTGCAATGAACGACGAGGCCATCAAGAAGGCCAAGACAATTGTGTGGAACGGCCCAATGGGTGTCTTCGAGATGGCCTCTTTCGAGAAGGGCACCAAGCAGATGATGGAGACCATTGTGAAGGTCACTGAGGAGGGAGCAGTGTCTGTGATTGGCGGAGGCGACACCGCCACAGCCTGCAAGGTCTACAAGACCGTTGACAAGGTCTCCCACTGCAGCACTGGTGGAGGTGCTTCCCTGGAGCTCTTGGAAGGCAAGGTGCTGCCTGGTGTGGCCGCATTGGATGACAAGTGAGGGAAGTAGATAGATTGACTAGAATGTTACAGTGTTCAGTTTCTTGATCGCGTTGAATACATTGGCAACTGGCCTAGCATTCATGCGGTATTTTCTTGAATGACTCTTGCCACAATCAATTTTTCCCATACAGCATTTGCAGAAAAAGCATTGAATGTGCGAGAGACAGCACATGTTTCTGGATGTGCCTTGATTTTGACAGAAACGTACACACACACACACCCACACACAATTGCACACACACGCTGGAGATACAATAATATACTACACATGTCTGGGATATTTTGATCAGGAAGATACATGTGCAAAAGCAACTTTGTCATTTTTCCAAGATGCAGGGGATGGAATCAATATTGAGAGGTGTGGTTGGCATGAGAAACACTAGGTGAACGCAGCATCAATATCAGCATTTGGTGCACTTGTCCCGCAGCATTTTTGCGAGAACCGTGCTGTAGTTGAACTGCTGTCCCGAAGTCATGGCACGCGCCTCGAAGGTTGCTGTTGGCTCCGTGCTGGGAGCAGCCACCCTGGGTGGTTTGTCCTTTGTGGCCCCAGGAAGTCGACTAGTTGAAGTCGAGAACAAGGCAACTGCTGCAAGCCAGAAATTCCTCTCTTCATCAGCCCCTTCCAGCAGCTCCTCCGCAGTGCAGGGCCTGAGCGGTGCCTTGGCAGTTGGAGGACTCAGCGTGGCTGCCATCCGAGGAGCAGCAGCAGCCTCTCGCCGCAAGGGTGTTCAGCCAAAGGCTGCCCAGAACGTGGTTGCTTGCAAAGCTTTGGCCAAGAAGAGCATTGAAGACATTGATCTGAAGGATCAGCGAATCTTCATCCGTGTGGATTTCAACGTGCCTCAGGACAAGAAGGACCCCAACATCATCACCAACACGGCACGAATTGATGCTGCACTGCCTACCATCAAGTATGCCCTTGAGAAGGGTGCCAAGTCTGTGGTTTTGTGCTCTCACCTCGGCCGTCCAGATGGTCAGAAGAACGAGAAGTTCTCCATGAAGCCAGTTGCAAAGGTGGTTGAGGAGAAGCTGGGCAAGCCAGTGAAGCTGATGCATGATGTGGTTGGCCCCGAGGTTGAGGAAGCATGCGCTGACCCCGAGCCAGGCACCGTGATCCTCCTGGAGAACTCTCGCTTCTATGTCGAGGAGGAGGGCAAGGGCAAGGATGCTGATGGTAACAAGGTGAAGGCAGATCCAGAGAAGGTGAAGGAGTTCCGTGCTTCCCTTGCCAAGCTGGCTGACATCATCTGCAGCGATGCCTTTGGCACTGCACACCGAGCACACAGCTCCATGGTCGGAGAAGGCTTCCCAGTCAAGTGCTCTGGTTTCCTCCTTGCCAAGGAGCTTGACTACTTTGCCAAGGTTGTGGACTCTCCCACCAGGCCTGTGTGCGGCATCCTTGGCGGAGCCAAGGTGGCTGACAAGATTCAGCTGATCATGAACTTGCTGGACAAGGTGGACATCATGATCATTGGTGGTGGCATGGCCTTCACTTTCATCAAGGAGGCTGGTGTTAACATTGGCGCCTCCCTCTATGATGAGGAGGGAGCCAAGTTGGTGCCAGACATCAAGAAGAAGGCAGAGGAGAAGGGTGTTGAGTTGATCCTGCCAGTGGACTTTGTGTGCTCTTCCAAGTTTGGAGAGGATGGCGAAATCAAGGACGGCGACATGGAGACAGGTGTCCCAGACGGCTTTTTGGGCTTGGACATTGGTCCCAAGTCCATTGCAATGAACGACGAGGCCATCAAGAAGGCCAAGACAATTGTGTGGAACGGCCCAATGGGTGTCTTCGAGATGGCCTCTTTCGAGAAGGGCACCAAGCAGATGATGGAGACCATTGTGAAGGTCACTGAGGAGGGAGCAGTGTCTGTGATTGGCGGAGGCGACACCGCCACAGCCTGCAAGGTCTACAAGACCGTTGACAAGGTCTCCCACTGCAGCACTGGTGGAGGTGCTTCCCTGGAGCTCTTGGAAGGCAAGGTGCTGCCTGGTGTGGCCGCATTGGATGACAAGTGAGTTCTCGCTGCCTTGTTTTTTGTTCCAACTACATTTTGGCCGCATGTGCTCATGCGGGGTATTCTGGTGACAGTAGCTGCTGTCCCTTATTTTTCCAAGCAGGAATCACAGACAGTGCATTGAAAAAGGCGGCAATTCCAAGTGTCACAGTGGCCTTTTGATGTCTGCAGGTGTTTGCAATGGAAGAACGATCAACCATGATTTTAGCAGTGGCAGAGTGAATGTTTTGTTCTGGAAAGTATCGCTTTTTACCAGCGCTGTGCGGAGCTTGAATGACCTGACAGCCATTTTGCTTCAGAAAAGACCCACAGATCGCTGGAGGACGGCACTGAGAGATGACGGGGCAAGCAGTTTCCAAGGCTGGCTGTGAAATCCTCACGCCGAAGACCATGGGATTCAACATGGATCAGTCATGATCAGTCTATCAATGTATCAATCAATCGATCTATTGATCTTATTTGATCTTCTCTGACTTTTTTGATTTTGTCTGATTTTACCTGATGTATCTGATCTTATCTCTTCTCTTCTCATCCTATCTTCTCATCCTATCTACCTATCTACCTACCTACCTATCCAGCTATGCAGCTATCCATCTATCCATCTATCCATCGGTCTATCCATCTATCCATCTATCTATCCATCTATCCATCTATCCATCTATCTATCCATCTATCCATCTATCTATTCATCTATTCATCTGTCCATCAGTCGATCTGCCTATCTATCCATCTATCTATCTATCCATCTATCCATCCATCCATCCATCCATCCATCTATCCATTTCTCCATATGAGTATACAGAATACATATGTATGTATGTATATATATATATAGATGTATATGTATATGTATATTATATGCGCAATATGATATATTTCCACAAAAAGAAGTGTATACGCATCGTATCCTGCATGATCCATTGAATTGTGATCCCGTGCCCAGTGATACATTGACTGCTTGGGTGCAGGCACAGACCTCCAGTCTGGGAGCATTGTGGGTGGCGGTGGTGAAAATCCTTGCTCGCCTAAGGAGCGCTGACTTGTTTTGAGTGGATATTTCGCAGAAGCCCGGGTTAGAAATCAGAGTTTCCTCAAACCAATCCACAGTTGAAAACAGTTTACCCATCCCAGCAGTTTCAAAGAGCTCCACTTTGGTCATGAGTTGAATTTGAAACGTCTTCCCCGGAAATTGGATGCTGAAGTGAGGTATTTGGGTCTCCTGGGCTATGCGTTGGAATGGTTGCTGGAGGTGCGCTGCTCCAGTCACTGACTGCATCCAGCTGATTTTTCCGCCTGCGCCGCACTGGAAAGGCCAGCCATGCCAGCAGCAGAATGCACAAGATCTTGCACAGCATCAACACACCCAAGGCCCAGCGCTCACTGATACATCATATCCAGAGGAATTTGGGTTCGTTTGCCAGGTTTTATTTCCATCTGCCATCTGGAGGTCCATTTACTGGCGATCAGCATGGTGCTTGCAGGCGACGCTAGATCACTATGATTTTCAGAGAGAAAATAGTGTGAATGAAGCATAGTGAGATAAGCCCGTACAACCAAGTGACACGGGGTTTGGGCGCTCAGATTGAATCGTTCATTCCCAAAACATGGGAAACACTGAGATGCTCGCTCAGGCCATATAGCGGAGCATCTTCATCAAGAGGAGGAGACACACTCGTGGAAATCCGGCGTTGACTTTGAACGTTGGGAAATGTAGGCACATCTCATGCTGTTTGGAATGCTATTTTCTTTCTATGTGCTCATTTCGTTCTCCTTCCAAGTTCAAAAACGTGGAAAATCTTCGATGTTCAAAGATGATCAAAGGATGAGTTTCCTTTGTTTCCTTTGCCTTCAAATTTCTTGATTTTGTAGGAGAATCATCACCAGGAGGCAAGTTGCGACAGTTCTCTGGTGGGGGCCCTGGGGTGTCAAGTGCCAGTCATTCTATTCGTAGTTTAGGCGCATTTGCACGAACTACGAATGGAAGTTCAAAAGCTGGGAACTCAGCGAACGCGAATGAGGACCCTAATGTCATCATCGCTGTGAAATTCTGGACCTAGCCATGGAGGGTTTCACTGGGACAATCATCGAATTGCTGTGGGATTTTCTAAGCTATAGCAGCCATGTGCCTAAGTACCGGAGGGTATATATATATATATTGATATATTGGAGGTTATGAAGGGCTTTGTCTGAAAATGCGGTATGCGCCCAAATAACCATATGGGAAAAATGATGACAAACCACTGGATTTTGGCGTGCCATATTTTAGACAAACTCGTATGAGACTCCTTGCAGTTTGCCCCGTGCCTGTGGACACTGAGGTTACGCAAGGGCGCTTGATAAGTGCAGCCGAAACCATTGGCATCAGCTAATGTCCTTCGCTCTCAAAGTGGAGTGAAGCGCGGGCTTGACATCGCTTGACCGTGGCTTGACCTGCAGTGCGAACCCAAACATAAAGCTTGGTGTGACACTCAAAAAGCTGTGAGAAAAAAGGACACCGCCACACCGTGCTTTTTGGACTCTCCAGGACACCTGGTAAGTTGTGGGGCAGCCCGTGAAAGTGCTGTTCTTGGACACAGGACATGGTGAACAAACACATGCTAACAGTTGGAAACTGAGGCAGCTGAGGTACATATCTCGAAATGGTTCCAGTCTCGGCTCAAAATTTGGTCCGAGATTTGCTGGTGTCTTTATTTCATTGGTAGCTTCTTCTTACGGTGCACCATTCAGAGGGAGAAAACCTGAAGCAATGCCCAGTTCATGCTTGGGGATTACAGTATGTGATGCTGAGTGATCATATATATATATATTTATTTATTTATTTATTTATTTATGTATACACACACACACACTCTGTATATACCTACACAGAGCAGTTAAATATTCATAATACACATATATATATATATATACACATACTCTTATGCATGTATCCATTCGATATGGGAGCTCCCCACCAGTGCCGCAGCACTGAGGCGAGATGGGCCGTATCGGAGTGCTATTTGAGCTGCGACATGCAGATACGAGGCTCGTGAGTCTGAACCAAGGGGTCACAAAACTGAAACTCCAAAACTGGATTAGCAATGAACTTGGCGGGTATAAAACACATAGTACTGGCGACTTAATGGAACATATATATATATATATATGTATGTATATATCTATATGTATGTATAGCTTTATGATCAACAATATCATAACGTCTGTATTTGAGTGTGTCCATAATTGGGAATACCTTATTTATTGTCATTTTCACAGGAAATTTGCGATTAGCCATTGGATTTTGGGATACCCTGTTTTTGGGCAAACTTGTCTTGACTTTCAAATGTGTTCTTACATATGAAATGATCAGTTGCCATATCCACCTCTATTCCATTGTAGTAATTGTAGTGGTTCTTCTTCTTCTTCTCCTTCTTGTTCTTGATCTTGTTCTTGTTCTTCTTCTTTTTCTTCTTCTTCTTGTTGTTGTTGTGCTGGTTGTTGTGATTGTTGTGGTTGTGATATCCCCCCACTCTTACCTGTACTGGTGTTCAATCACATGAATGTCAGCAGTGGTGCTGAAGCTGTGCATTTTGTCGCCACCAGATTTCCCGAATCAGCGACGACAATTTTGCTTAGGAGCCGGAAATGGAACGTGTATATATATATAATTATATATATATAGTTGTAGCGAGTTTTCAATTTGCCTACATTGATTGTGGTTTTCCATGGTTTTCCCTTTCTGAAGTGTTGGTGGGGGCCAACAAAACGGTCCTTGGTTCCCGATTCCTGGTTCCCGATTCGGCCATGGGAATAAGGCAAGATACGCCGAAGGAGACATGGGAACCAAGAACGGGTATTTGACCATCAAGAAACCTACAAAAAACCATAGTGAAGGATTGTGATACTAGTCATAAATATTTAATTAGTGTCATCATCGCTGATAGCCATTCTCATTCTAAGTGTAGAGAATGCATGAAAATGCCATGATGACACTATACGATGGCGTTATCATTGCTATTGGCATCAATTTTTTCATGATGGAGATATGATGGTGGAACCATGTTTTCACCATTACTATTGCTACATATTGCTACGAAATAGGGACATGATCAAACTGTCCATGAGGGGAGATGGTGACAGTCGTTGGAGCCCGTGGAGAGTCTGGGAACCCATGGGACGTCGAGCTGCGCGCAAGCGAAGGGGTCAACGGAGATGCGGCGTGGTCATGGGCGTTCAAGACTGTATCATGGGGTAAATCTCCATATTTCATGGTTTAAATATGTTAAAATCGTATTTTTGGATAGTCACAACATGTTACATCGGAGGCATTGCCACTTACCCCCAGTTTCATGTCCCCGACGATTCCACCCTGGCGTGGCAGTTCGCTTCCGTCCAGCTCTTTTTTCGAAGGCTTGGTGCTTGGGATTGCTACACATCTGGTTTGCCCCATCCTCGGTGCAAAATTCGCGTTAAACGATGTGGAAAAACCATGGGGAGAAACCCGCGTTTGGAAAATGATGTTTCAAAACTCAACTCTATAATTTTAGACCGTAGGTTCTCCATTCTTTGTCTGAAAAAAAGGACAAGCCTTGAACTTTCGCCACCCGAGGCAGCTTCGCACAGGTGCTTCATTGTATCCCTGCTGGGCGATGTTGGGCACTGGGTGATGTTAGCGATGTAGTCGTGGTCTCCAACTGAGCAGATGCCTGAGCTGAGGCTGGCACCAGTGTGGGTCTCGCCTGGCACTCAGCCCTCGTGACGAGCGTGTTGGAATTCTTTGGAACTAGGGTATCCCGAAATATCTAAGAGTTTGTCATCATTTTCCCCGTTGAAACTGCCATAAACGGAGGTATCCCCCTAGTGACCTAGGGTCTGTTTCAAGAGTGAAACCTGGCCCCAGTTTAGTGCGGCACAGTGAAACTTGAGGCCGGGGACCAGCGATTCTTCTGCCTCACTTTGCCGTTCCCAGGCCGATTGGGTTAGTCATTCCCAGGATGACAGTTCCATGATGTTTTCCCCATAAAGGGTTTGGAGGGTGCTGCAGATGATCCTGAGATTTCCTTTTTGTTGCCAGGATTTAGACACTCCTGGCCACTCCATCGCAAGCCCACGAATTGCAGGGGAACTCGGCAAAACGAGCGCTTCAGCTTGCTTCACTTTGAGAGAGATATGTGATATGAGTGGATGATTTGAAAAATACGGGATTTCCGGGATTTCCTCTTTTTTCAGTGCAAAGACCATGGTTTCCTTCAGACTTCCCCCAAACATGTGAGCCAATTTTTGATTTTTCTGTGCAGCACCCCTACCGTGGAACCCTGGTTGCACCATTTATATCATTTGAGACATCATTTATAACCAAGGTCAGGGATGCTTCTGTGATACCAGAAGAGCCGGAAGTGGTGTCTAGTGGTGATAGTCCAGTGCTCAGTTTCTATGGTGGAGCTGTTGGTGCACACCGGTTGAAGCCTCAGGTGGAGAAGCGGATACCAATCCTCAGCAGTTGATCCACATCGAGTACAAGTTCGTGAAGGCGCCAACGTTGACAGTTTCAAAGCTTGATTTTGATGTGAAAAATAAGCATTTAATAAACCCAATCATAACCCACATCTTTACCGGACATACGTTGTATAGATATATATATAATTACAGTACATAAATAAGTAAACAAATAAATGAATAAATAAATAAATAAATAAATAAATATATATATATATACACACATAAGCCACCCAAAATTGGGTGTACTGCTGGGATTTGCTGGGTTTATCGCGGTTTCCGAGGATCGTCGGCAGTTGAAAGACTGCGGACCTTCGATTCAATGGGAGGAGCGGTTCACGTTGAAACGTTGGGCTTGGTGCTGCATGGGGGATGTAGTGCTTGGGATGTATTCCTGCCAAAAAAGTATGATGTGAACGCTTGATTGTTGGTATTTTGTAGTGATTTCAGTTGCAATTCTTGGCCTTTACCTTCTTTTTGCCTTAATACTTGAGTCCTCAAGCATCTAGCATTGGCTTTGTGACTTAGAGCCAACAAAGTCAAATTGTGTTTAAAGGTTCAATCCTGATCCATGAAAATAGTTTGTTGGGTTTGGATTGGTTGCTGGACAGGACAGCATCGCCAATCGCTTGGTGACTCTGCCTTTTGAGCCTGGGAGCATTTGGATCATCTCTGATTCAAAGTTCAACGATGCCCGGTCCTGAGAAAAAAGTGCCACTACCCATGGCTCTACTGATCCCAACATGGTCCATTTCAAGTTCTACTTTCAGCCTGTGCAAGGAACAATTGGGATTCCTGCTTATTTCTGTTGGTGATGTTCCGACTGGTAATGCTTCATGATATATTTTTGTGATTAAGTCTCAATTCTCAATGATTGATGGTTACCTTAAAACCAATTTTTGGTATTAAGTCATTTGACATCCATCAACTTTACTTGAGAAACTGATATTATTTCCTCTGGTGATTTTTTAAGGTGCGCGAGCAGCCCAAGATCATTCGGACAACTCTTGTTGAGATTTTGTTCCGTCGCAAGCTGAGGGAATACCTGGCAGATTTTTTCCCAGCTAGCAGCTTACCATCTATTTTGCTGTGAACTACTGACATTTACCTATATATATATTAATATATATGTACATACATACATAATACATACGTGCACATACATACACATACATACACATACATACAACATACAACATACATTCATACATTCATACATACATTCATACATTCCATACATTCCATACATTCCATACATTCCATACAATCCATACATTCATACATTCATACATTCATACATTCATACATTCCATACATTCCATACATTCCATACATTCCATACATTCCATACATTCCATACATTCCATACATTCCATACATTCCATACATTCCATACCATATCATATCATACCATACCATACCATCCATCCATGCATGCATGCATGCATCCATGCATGCATGCATGCATGCATACATGCATACATACATACATACATACATACATACATACATACATACATACATACATACATACATACATACATACACAGACACACAGACACACAGACACACACACACATGCATGCATGCATGCGTGCGTGCGTGCGTGCATGCATATATATATATACGTATATATATATATATATATCTACTCATCTATCTACCCATCTATCCATCTGTCCATCTGTCTGTCCTTCTGTCCTTCTGTCCATCTGTCCATCTGTGCATCTATTCATCTATCCATCTATCGATCTATCGATTTATCAATCTATCGATCGATTGATCTATCTACCTATCTAACTATCTGTCTATCTCTCTATCTATCTCTCTATCTCTCTATCTCTCTATCTCTCTATCTCTCTATCTCTCTATCTCTCTATCTCTCTATCTCTCTATCTCTATCTCTCTACCTACCTATCTAGATACCGACTTACCTACCTACTACCTATCTATCTATCTATCTATCTATCTATCTATCTAGCTATCTACTATCTATCTATCTATCTATCTATCTATCTATCTAGCTATCTATCTATCTATCTATCTATCTATCTATCTATCTATCTATCTATCTATCTATCTATCTATCTATCTATCTATCTATCTATCTATCTATCTGTCTCTTTTTTTTTCTTTCTTTCTTTCTTTCTTTCTTTCTTATCTATCTTATCTATCTTATCTATTTTATGCAGACGGACCTTTTACCGGCCCACAAAATGGGGTTAGGGTGGGGTAGGGTGTGATATCATTCGTCAACACTGCAAGACATGATGCGATGCTACGCTACGCATGGGGTGGGGTGGGGTGGATTGTGATATCATTCGTCATTACTGCAAGACATGATGCGATGCGACACTACGCATGGGGGGGGTGGGGGTGGGGTGAGGTGTGATATCATTCAGTCAGTACTGCAAGAAATGATGCGATGCTACGATACGCATGGGGGGGGGTGGGGTGGGCTGGATATCATTGTCAGTACTGGCAAGACATGATGTGATGCTACGCTACGCCACGCATGGGGTGGGGTGGGGTGGGGTGTGATATCAATCGTCAGAACTGCAAGACATGATGGGATGCAACTCTGCGCGTGGGGTGGGGTGGGGTGTGATATCATTCGTCAGTACTGCAAGACATGATGCGATGCTACGCTACGCATGGGGTGGGGTGTGATATCATTTGTCAGTACTGCAAGACATGATGCGATGCTACGCTACGCATGGGGTGGGGTGGGATGGGTTGTGATATCATTCGTCAGTACTGCAAGACATGATGAGATGCGACGCTACGCATGGAGTGGGGTGGGGTGGGGTGTGATATCATTCGTCAGTACTGCAAGACATGATGCGATGCTACGCTACGCATGGGGTGGGGTGGGGTGGGGTGTGATATCATTCGTCATTACTGCAAGACATGATGCGATGCTACGCTACGCATGGGGTGGGGTGGGGTGGGGTGGGGCGTGATATCATTCGTCAGTACTGCAAGACATGATGTGATGCTACGCTACGCATGGGGTAAACACAAGGCAAACGCAATGGTTTGTTGTTCAAGTACATTCGAAGTCAACAATGGAGATGGGAACACACTGGCTTCGACTTGCTGACCGCAACTGGCGAAGCTGTAAGATCTCTCATGCGGTGAAGAGAAAAGGCCACTTTGTTCGTTCGTCGGGTTTTGCAGCACAAAACCCTGCAAGGGTTGCAAGCCACAGTAAAGCGGATGTTTTTTTTTGATGGTCGTTTGCCACATGAAATCGCGCTGGCGCCACAGCGAAACAACAATTTTTGGACAATCATGGGCCGGTGCCAGGTCCGCCGGGTATTTTATCTATTTAGTCTATCTTATCTATTTAGTCTATCTTATCTATCTGATCTATCTTATCTAGTTTATCTATTCTATATTCAGTTTTTTTTCATCTTTTAACATCTACTGTATCTGATCTTAGTTTATCTGATCTTATCTTAATCTTAATCTTAATCTTATCTTTTCTTATCTTAATCTAACCTAATCTAATCTAATCCAATCCTATCTATCTATCTATCTATCTATCCATCCATCTATCCATCTGTCCACCCACCACCCACCTATCCATCCATCCATCTATCCATCCATCTATTTATGTATCTATGTATCTATCTTTCTAATCTATCTATCTATCTATCCATCTATCCATCTATCCATCCTATCTACCCGTCTTTTCTTGCCTTGTCTTATTCTACTTTATCTTATCTGATCTTGTCTTTTCTGTTCTATCTCATCTATCTAATCTATGCCATCTATCTTGTCCATTTCCTTTTTTTTCCGGATCTTGATCGTGCATAGCTGTTTTGAAGAAGGCAGCCCTGTAGAGACGAGCTGTTTATGTGGCGGTCAGGGGTGACCAAGCTGCACCCATGGTGCCATGGATATATCACCAGAGGGTAGGTGTCTCCGTCAGGCGGAATTTGCTTGGTGCAGGTTCCAAGAGCCCGAGCGATTGCTGGCTTTTCAACAATCAGGGAACCAAGGGCTGGACGTGTTTGTTCACTTTATTGTTCTAGACTATGTTGATAGTGTGGTAAACCCAACAGTAACCCTCCAATTGCGTGAAATCGGGGATGGTTTATGGCCCCGGCTTTACCACATTAGTGGCATGTGGAACTTGGACACTGGATTCAGGTCGTGACAAGTTGGACATGGAGTTCAGAGCATCCTTGCAGGACTTGAACGCGGGGCTTTCCACGTTCCACCGGTTTCCTTAGAGAATCTCCAAATGGGTCCCACTTCAACAGAGTAGGGTTTCCCCTATCAACTTTTTGAGTAAAATGTGGTATACCCAATGTCATAAACCGTCCTGACAATTTTACCAACAATGGATGAGTATTAACCATCAAAAATTGGGTGTTTATGGCCTTAGTTTTACCACATTGGTTTGATTCGCCGGTGTGGAATTTGCAGCAGCTGGCATCCTGTCCATCTAGTTTGAGCGTTTGACCCCATGGAACAGACTTCTGGCAGCTTGGGAAGCTAGCGACCAGTTTGGTATTGGCCAAAATAGGGGTTCCGATGCACCAGCAAAGCTGGTCATTTTCAGCATGAACGTTCAAGCATCAGTTTCCAGAGTCTCACATGAGCCTCCCCAGAAATAGTTTGTGTATCTCCACTTATTGTTCTTGATCCAAGACCTCCAATGATCTCCATTATTTGTTGGGCCAAATAAAAACTATGGGATAAATGATACATGGACATACAAATATATCCCTATGGGTTGTTATGGCAGAGAACACACATATCTATAAAACTACTATTCACCCCATTGTGCCTATGGGCCATGGGATATTTATCTTCCTCTGAGCCACCACTATCCCCACTGACAGGACGCCCATTCCCCCGAATGGAGCGGCCGGGAGCCAGAAGATGACGGGCCGGGTGCTTGGTGCTTGCGGGAAATGCCGGCTTTGAAGCTCCCAGAAAGGAGCGTTTCCTGATGTTTCCTGTAAAATTTCCCACGTTTTTTGTGGAATTTGGAATCAGCTCCCAGAATCGGATGGTTTCCCAGAATGATTTGACCAATGCCAAACATGGTGGGAGGCACATCCATTGACATTTGCGATTTTCTTTTCACGATGGTACCAGGTTTTTGACCAACCAGGATGCTTTCCCAGTTGTTGGATTTTTCGAGTGCCAACTTGTTTGCAAACTTCTATTGGCAACATTCATTTACACGAGATGAGACTACGGCGACTACGGAATATGCAAGAAAAAAACACAACTTCAATAGTTGCAATTCAATATCCTCTGCCAATGCAGTTCTCTGACCGTATCAAACCTGATTCAGTCCTGAATGCGCCCTGGTAAGGTCCAGTCATCACAGTGGAGGAACCAACTGGAGTCTGGGGTCTTACTGGCAGCCCATGGCCCCCATGCTGGAAATTTCACTGGAAAACCGCTGGATTTTGTTCGGAAAGTTTGGCAGCGAGGTCACCATACAACCTCCACGGTTGGCTTTCTGACCCATTTCTGAACTCGGACAACTCGGTGAGCAGTGATGTGCAACTGAGTTGTGGTCTCCCGAATGCATGGCCTGGAAAGTGTGATGCTTTCCAGATTCAACCCGACAAAACGAGGGGCCCCAAAGATCTGCTGATTGGGGTGTTTCTATGTGTTTCTGGTGTTTCTGAAATGTGGCTGTTGCAACCTGCCAACTTGTGAGTGTTGTTGGGGAAACACTGGGGGCTGACCTCGGCCTGCGCCTTGCTGCGCCTTGCACGGTTGAGTCTTACTCATCCCAAGATCTGGTCCATCACACCTCGGGCCAAAGAAGTTCACATTTGTGTCTAATCGTCTAACTCAAATTTTGGAACGAAACTGTTGGCACCATACTTCTCAGCTTTTTGTATCCTCTGATGACTTTATGCTTCCGGTGGTGCATGATGTCAGCTGGAGCAAAAGTATCTTAGCTGGAAAAACACGTGCGACGACTCTCGAATTTAAGGAGATTTCAACAGGGTATGGCGATATTCCTAAGGAAACCCAGTCACACCAGGGTGTCTTAGGGCGCCATACCCAGGACTCCCTCCTGGTCTCATCAAAGGATGGGGGCCACTTCCGGACCCCCAACCGAGGTGGGCATGTGTTTTGGGACCTAAAACTTCATCATGCTGTATGGCAGTATGGCTTAAAGAATTTTCAGACTTACAGACAGCTGCAGACGTGCCCACTGGCGCTGACCGGCAGAAATTTGGATTTTCGAGAGCGAAGTACAGATCAGATTTGTGTCACCTCCCAGGACCCTCTGAGATCCATGCGTCATCGACCGAGTCAATGGCGAGAGGCTACACTCCTTGGAGTGGGATCAAGGAAATGGCAAAGAAAAATCACTATCAGCAGGCCAAAGCCATGCAACATGGCAACATTGGTTCGTTTTCAGTGCAGAAGTTTCTAGGTCTCCAATGCTGCGATCTGCATCACATCTTGACCCACCGGCAAGGGTGTTGTCTTGTTCGGGGCAGGCGCCCCTGGGTGTTGGCTCCACGAGCAAACAACACCAGAATGTTCCGTGGCATCTGTCCGGCAGCAAAGTGGATTTCGGCGCTGGACATAACGACCACCTTTTGATTTGCGGGCGCCAAATTCGAGCAGAGTCACGACCGGAAAGGCATTGGCATCTCAAGCTGGACAAAGAGGGCAGCAGCCAACTTTGGCGCAAAAGTTGCCGCGGCAGAAGCTGTGCTCTTTGGAGCCAGAGAGTGCGTGACTTCTTTGACGACCAGAGGGATCTGATGAAGCTGTAGGTAGATGGCATTCTGAATATTTCTGATAGAGACGAGTCTGAGACGAGTCATTACATTTGCAGCTTCTGAATTTGGCGTTCTTCTCCGCTGCCCATTTTTGCTTTCTTCTCAAGAGAGCCTGTTGAAAGACTCAGAAAGTTTGTTCAGCAGAAGACTCATGGCACAAGAAGTTTCTCTGAAAATCGGGTACAAAGTCCCATGATTTGATTTACCATAGAATTTCTGCATGTTCTGCATGTAGCCATTTTAGGATACTCAGTGATCCATCATTTTTGGAGAAACCTACATATTTTTGTTGGGATTCGCAACATTGTGCCGCACTATGGAGAGCCCAGATTTGAAATGTTTGTCGCCGTGCTACGAGCGAGAGGTACACCGATGCTAAAAGAAAGGGGATACACGACGAACCCCTGGTTTTCGCTGGCTTGGATGGACACTAAAAGATTGACCTTTCAACATGGACATTCACGCTCGGAAGGGGTCCGAATTGTGGGATCTGCAAGCACAGACATAGACCTCTTCCTGAGCCACCAACCTTGCACGCTCGCAGTGGATTGGAGCTGGCGAGAGCCTTCCAGAGCCACCCGAGGACCCATTTGGGGCGCTTCAGTTGGCCAGGGGTTGGGTAAACGTCCTGGTTCAAGGGGATATTCGCAGCAACAAACAAGATAAATGCAACGCATGAAGTGTGAGGATCTTGACCTTTTCTTTGTTGCTTTTCGATATTGTCATTTCACGGCGACAGTTTTGGTGTAGCGGCTACCATACTGGTAGTTGTTGATCTAATTCAGACTTCATTTCAACCCTGGATGAATCATTATTGTTATATTGATCCAATGAAGTATCACATTATCATATACTATCACCATTTGGAGGGTTCCCCTAACTAATAAACCATGGTTTAAGATGATTATTCTGGACAGCCAACTTCGCCCCCACGATGGCCTTTTGGGGTAGGTCCAGCCCTGGGTCTCCGAACGTTTGGAGCTGCGAGACACTGACAGAGGGCGAGGGTTTCGCAGCTGCACCCGGGGGGTTCTTAAGTCATGGGGAATCCCCAAGTCACCATGGGTTTCAATAGTAAAATTACGATCAACTCCCACCATTTGCCCCGCTTCTGGAAGAGTTCGACGACGGGATCATCATCATCATCATCATCATCATCAGCATTATCAGCATTATCAGCATTATCAGCAGCAGCAGCAACAACAGCAGCAACAACACCACCACCACCACCACCAACAACAACAACAACAACAACAACACCAACAACACCAACAACACCAACAACACCAACACCACCAACACCACCACCACCACCACCACCACCACCAACAACAACAACAACAGCAACAACAACAGCAACAGCAACAGCAACAAGAACAAGAACAAGAACAAGAACAAGAACAGCAACAGCAACAACAACAACAACAACAACAACAATATTGGTATGATCAGTTCAAAATGCGCAGTTCCAGCACTTTTGGTTGCACCAACAGTTCAAACAGAATCCTAACAAACCGTTGCAAAATGCACAGTTCCCGCAATCTTGTGAGAACGAACAGCTCTAACAGAATCCTAGCAAATTGCTGCAAAATGCACCCACCTCACCCCACCCCACCTTAAACCATGACAATTAGATCATCTTGGGCGCAGCATCAAAGTCTTGCGCAAGGTCGAATGAGCGTTATCATCGCCCCGTCCCACCCCACACCACTGATGCAGCATCAAAGTCTTGTGCAAAGCCGGGTGAACGTTAGCATCCCCCCACCCCACCCCACCCTATGTGAGCGTAGCATCAACATCTTGCGAAAAGTCGAGGGAACGTGGTCGAAGGAACGTTATAACATCCCCACCCCACCCAATGTGATCGTAGCATCAACATCTTGCGCAAGGTCGAGGGAACGTGGTCGAAGGAACGTTAACATCCCCACCCCACCCCATGCACCCCATATGAGCGTAGCATCAACATCTTGTGCATGGTCGAGGGAACATGGTCGAGGGAACGTTAACATCCCCACCCCACTCCATTCCAACCCACCCCATGTAAACTGTGGGGCAAATGGTGGGCGTTGCGTCTAAAACTACTAAAATGGTCTGATGACTTGGATGATTGGGTCCCTTCATTGATGGAAACCTGCATATGACTGGTCTAGTTTCTGCATTGTTGGGATGGTCACTAGGGTATGAGGGTTTTGACCCACAACCAAAAATCCCACATGACCACCACAGAAGAATCAAAGCACCTTCCAATGATGAATTTACTACAGAAACATCGTTTGATTCCTGCAATAGTGGGCCTGGGCCTATGATAGTTGCAAGTAGGGTCCACTACCCAAGACCAACAGATAGTAGAGGAAGAACCACTGAGAATATGTTTTGAAGTGAGCAGATGCCCTACACATAAGTCACAAGTCCAACCACCTACCCAAATGGATTTCATCAAATAGCTGCATATACCCTCTGGTAAACTAACATAACTATGGAAAATTACAATTTTTAATGGGAAAATTCACTATATACTATAAATGGTCATTTTCAATAGCTATCTTAAATTACCAGAGGGTAGCTGGTCCATATATAACAACCACTCGTTGAGGTTGTTCCTTTCGGCCTCAGCCAAAGAAGGGGAGATCCTTTTCGTGTGCCCTCAACGGGGGGGATCGCGCCTGGTCGGAGCTTGTTTGAGGAACATCTTGGGAAACCATAGAAAACCATCCAGTTTTTAGCACGTCTTTCATGTTTTGGCCCATAATTTCATGCATCCTATGCATCCATAGTTCCATGATGTTCCATGTGTCCATGGTTTTGTGCATCGTAGACATCTCTAGCTCCATGCTGCATCCAGATGTTCATGCGTCCATGCATGCGCCTATGGTTCCTGACACCCATTGTTCCATGCATCCATACTTTCCTTAGCTTGCACGTTCCGCACGTCTGCAAAATTGTGCAGATCCATGCGTTCCATGCATAGATATATGCATGAACTTATAAATCTTGGAACTTGTTAGGACAAGGTTACCGACAAGGTTGTATGCTTCATAGACGCCACAAGATGGGCCCTCGGCGAGGTGCGAGCCCTTCGTGATTGGGTCAGCATCTGGTTTGCAGGAAGCAACCGTCAAGAAGCTGCGATCCGTTCCAGAGGACGGTTGGATTCACCCGCTTTTTGTCTGTTAGGGGACCATGGTGTTGATGCCCATATCAGCCATATTCTACAGAATTCACCAGTGGTCAATGTGAGGATCAGGGAGCCAATATAGAGTTTGAGATCTCTCCCATCTGAAAATGTCTTGAAAACTGGTACCAAATCCAATTTGGATTGACTTCATGGCGTTTCAGCAGTTTGATCATTTGGCTTCAGCCACAGGAGGATTTCAACCGCTTCATGTCTTTGCAAGGCCGTCGGGTTTCACCAAAATTAAAGCATGCAGGGCGTTGGAACATATTTCACTGACTCGGGGCATGTAGGCCAGCAAAAATACAGATGCTCACCAATGAAAGATGGGGCTAGGGATAAAACCAAAGCTGGGGACGTGAAGCAACAACTTAAACTGTGATAGGCACTGATTGAATTTCAATGTTCCCCATTAATATCTCCATTTTTTGTACATATCCAATGGCTTGGAGATTGCCAACATTTTTCATAGATGCCTGGATGGTGTCTTGATGAGGACACGGATCACCAGCCCTGCAGGGTCTGATGGCACGAGATTCGTCACAGAAACCGCTGGCTTCTCAGCCGAGTTCGAATGTCTAAAGATTCGGTGTAGAAGGTAGAGCCAACACAAAAAACATGGCGGCACCACCACCACACTTAGATATGACCTACTGTACAAAGCACAGGGAAGAGAAAAACGGGTGAAAGTGAAAGGTTCTGATTTGGAAAGGGTTATTTTGACGCTTGCGTTCACAATGGGGGAAGACCAAAAGGCATGACTTAGGCATGACTTCTTGATGTTGCGTTCACCCCCGTGATCCATGCACATCCAGGAAATGAAGTTGCAGAGTTGGACGCGTGGTCCAAGGCTGGAAACCATGAGAATGGGATTGTGGAGAGTTAAAAACTTTAGGATCCAGGGAATTTCATGAAATTCAGCCAAGTTGAATTGCGAGATTTGATCTCAAACTTTTTTTTTTGGTGCTGTCAACTACAGATGGTTTCGGTCATTTTTTGCGTTGAATGTCTATATAATTCTTGCAGGAGTGAAATTCTTGATCCTACCCGTCGGTTGTGGGGTCGAATTTGGAACCTCCTGTTGGGAGGGAACGCCATCGTATTTGATGGACACACCGCATCCGTTTTGCTGATCAAGACATGCATTTTTGGCATCAACAACATGGAACGCCACAAGTTCCTGCAAGCTCTCAGCTGCTTGGCTAATCGACAGGACAGTGCAACATCAGAGGTCCGTGGACGCCAAGAAAGTGGCGAAGGCCTGGTGCCCTAAGGTTGGTCCGGGAAGTTGATCCGATACGAAATGGTCAAACTTTGGAGCATCAAAGTTTCTGACAGCCGAGGTCTTGCAATTCAATAGCCTGGCAAGGGATTCTCTGAATGGGCAAGGTTTTGCAGAAGAAGCAGCTTTGTTGCGCCCTGAGCCAGCTTGGTTAATCTGACTGACACCGGTCTGTTGTGAATTACTTTTCCACGAGACGCTTCCAAACCATTTGACTCCCTGAAAGCCAGGTGTGGGGTGTGGCCTCTATGCAGTTTGATCAACCATTCTTGCCTCCCGAACGTCGGAGCCTTGGTTCTACCTCCCAAAGATGGCTCAACAGATGGTCCTCAAAGTTTGCAAGATCTTTGGCTTGGGCTGCATGTACTTCGTATTTTTTTCCTCCCAGTGCCAACCCCGGTGTACATGTGAACAGATGGATATGGCTCAAGATCATTTGCAAACTTGCATGGTTCATTTCCCATCTCCCATCGGCCATCCTTGGCTCAGGTGCAGGAGCACTTTCTCGGTGATTTCTTGATCCTGAGGGCAGCACGGCCCATCGCAGCCGGAGAGGTGCAGCAGCTGCTGATGCCTTGGCATATACCATGGCTGGGAACCTCACTAGCTGGGAAAATCATCGAACCAGCCATGTTTGAGTACCAGAGGGTCCAGAGGGTCCAGAGGGTCCAGAGGGTCATTTCTGTTTGGACAGGAGTTGTTGATGTCGTCCTGGGCTCAGAAAAAGGGACTTGTGCAAGGAATGTCTGAAGGACTTGGAAAAATGCTGAACGACTGAGGTATGTTTCCCCCTTCCAGTCATGGACCCAGTTCAGCATACCGACTCAAAGTTGTTCCAATGACTAAAATTGATGGCCTTGATGAGGCCGCGACATGTGCGACGCCAGCGCCTGTCTGGCACATTTCAGTTCTCTTGTGCCTGGGCGACAGATTTCGGCGATGTTGGGATTAGTGGAACAAATGGACCCATCCAAGTCTTAGGCATGTTTCCTCCAGGTTTGTTGTTTTCTGTTGTGAACGACCTGACTTTGTCAAACATAGACTTCTGATGACTGGAAAATCTGGAAACTCCCGCATTTTAGTTCGATGATTTTCCGAGTAAAGCCGGGGGACTTACAGCTTGCCTATGATTGCAGTAGGCACGGATTGTTCGCTGAGGCAGTTGCGAACGCTGCGCTTTGGAGGCAGAGCTGGTGCCTGAAAAGAGGGTGCGACACCCAGGCCATCGCAAGGTGGTGACACAGGATGATTTTGCCATGGCAAGGAGGAACGCACTGAGTCGAGTCCTAATTCGGAAGTTGATGGTGAGTTTTTCGGTGAAATTGACATAAATTGACATAACATATAAACACATATATAAATTGAATAGTTTGATAATGTTTGATATGGGGATATGACCAGAAGGGCGGTACCAGGGGGGTTTTGACCGGTGACCGGGCAACCGGGCTGACCGGCCTGGTTGACCGGGCCCGGTTGGCCGACCGGCCAACCGGCTGACCGGCCAACCGCCGACCGACCGGCCAACCGGCTGACCGACCGGCCAACCGGGCGGCCGGCTGACCGGCCGGCCGACCAACCGGCCCGGTTGGCCGACCGGCCGACCGGCCGACCGGCTGACCGGCCAACCGCCGACCGACCGGCCAACCGGCTGGCCGGCCGGCCAACCGGTTGACCGACCGGCCAACCGGCTGGCCGGCTGACCGGCCGGCTGACCGGCCGGCTGACCGGCCGGCCCGGTTGGCCGACCGGCCGACCGGCTGACCGGCCAGTAGTAGTAGTAGTAGTAGTAGTAGTAGTAGTACTAGTCGTAGTACTAGTCGTAGTAGTATAGTTGTTGTAGCAGTAGAAGTAGCAGTAGCAGCAGCAGTAGCAGTAGCAGTAGCAGCAGCAGCAGCAGTAGTAGTAGTACTAGTCGTAGTAGTCGCCGTCGTAGTAGTGGCAGCCCAAACACATATCCAAGAAAAAAGCAAAAGCAGAAAAAGCATGAGGAGGAAGAGAAGAAATTACACGCAAACACCCTTAAACAAAAAAGTAATATGTCAATAACTTTTAGATTTGAGAAAAACATAGTTTCCCAAACGGACCAGTTTTTGACAACTTTCTTTACTAAAAAAGGCAATTTGAAGTTCAAAGAAGGGTCCCCTCCAGAAATTGCCGAATTTAACTTGTGCGGCAGTCATTGTATTGACACGTGTATGATGTTCATCCTTATTTCTATGTCCTGGTTTCTGCAGCTAATATTTGATGGCAGCCCAAACGCACATCCAAGAAAAAAGCAAAAGCATGAAAAGCAGAGAAGGGCGGAGCCGGGCACTCTCCAACCGTGAACCGTGGAACTCAACCGTGGAAACCGTGGAGCTCGAACCGTGGCCCACGTTTCCACGGTTCAACCGTGGAACCGTGGAACCCGAACCGTGACACACGGTTCCACGGTTCAACCGTGGAACCGTGGAGCCCGAACCGCGGCGTACGGTTCCACGGTTGAACCGTGGCGGACGGGCGTACGGTTCCACGGTTCAACTGTGAAACCGTGGAGCCCGAACCGTGGAGCCCAAACCGTGGCCCCCAAACCGTGGCCCACGGTTGCACGGTTCAATTGTGAAACCGTGGAGCCCGAACCGTGGCACACGGTTCCACGGTTCAAGTAGTAGTAGTAGTAGTAGTAGTAGTAGTAGTAGTAGTAGTAGTACTAGTACTAGTACGAGTACGAGTACCAGTACCACTACCAGTACCAGTACCAGTACCAGTACCAGTAGTAGTAGTAGTAGTAGTAGTGGTAGTGGTAGTGGTAGTGGTAGTGGTAGTGGTAGTGGTAGTGGTAGTGGTAGTGGTAGTGGTAGTGGTAGTGGTAGTCGTAGTCGTAGTGGTAGTGGTAGTGGTAGTGGTAGTGGTAGTGGTAGTAGTGGTGGTAGTGGTGGTAGTGGTAGTGGTAGTGGTAGTGGTAGTGGTAGTGGTAGTAGTGGTGGTAGTGGTGGTAGTGGTGGTAGTAGTAGTGGTGGTAGTAGTAGTAGTAGTAGCAGTAGTACTAGTAGTGCTAGTAGTACTAGTAGTACTAGTGGTACTAGTGCTAGTACTAGTACTAGTGCTAGTACTACTTGTTGTAGTAGGAGTCGCAGTAGTAGTACTAGTACTAGTAGTAGTACGGGCTGACCGGCCGGCTGACCGGCCGGCTGACCGGCCGGCCCGGTTGGCCGACCGGCCGACCGGCTGACCGGCCAGTAGTAGTAGTAGTAGTAGTAGTAGTAGTAGTAGTAGTAGTAGTAGTAGTAGTAGTACTAGTCGTAGTACTAGTCGTAGTAGTATAGTTGTTGTAGCAGTAGAAGTAGCAGTAGCAGCAGCAGTAGCAGTAGCAGTAGCAGCAGCAGCAGCAGTAGTAGTAGTAGTAGTACTAGTCGTAGTAGTCGCCGTCGTAGTAGTGGCAGCCCAAACACATATCCAAGAAAAAAGCAAAAGCAGAAAAAGCATGAGGAGGAAGAGAAGAAATTACACGCAAACACCCTTAAACAAAAAAGTAATATGTCAATAACTTTTAGATCAGGATTTGAGAAAAACATAGTTTCCCAAACGGACCAGTTTTTGACAACTTTCTTTACTAAAAAAGGCAATTTGAAGTTCAAAGAAGGGTCCCCTCCACAAATTGCCGAATTTAACTTGTGCGGCAGTCATTGTATTGACACGTGTATGATGTTCATCCTTATTTCTATGTTCTGGTTTTTACAGCTAATATTTGATGGCAGCCCAAACGCACATCCAAGAAAAAAGCAAAAGCATGAAAAGCAGAGAAGGGCGGAGCCGGGCACTCTCCAACCGTGAACCGTGGAACTCAACCGTGGAAACCGTGAAACCGTGGAGCTCGAACCGTGGCCCACGTTTCCACGGTTCAACCGTGGAACCGTGGAACCCGAACCGTGAAGGTCTCTAGATTTCATCAGAGTTGTCCTCTCCTCCTCTTCCCTGCCAGAAAGTTTTGCCAGAAAGAATGTCAAAATCTGTATGACATTCATGGTGGGGATCACTCGAAGAAAGGTCACCAATGATGAATCTTCGATTTAGGATTCTTGCTTTGGTGAACCACACCTGTGTCTGGAAAGTACTCGTAACTTCTTATGCTAGGTTTGGCCACAGATAGGGTGCTTTCTGTTTCTTTCGCTCTCGCCATCAAGGGTTGTGGTTGAGGAGGCATGTCATTGGTTTATGGTTTTGTCTTCATTGTGTTTGCCGTTGCATTCACACGCTTCGTCCTGCTGAGGCGCATTCTTCCTGATTCATCTCGTGGACGGTGCCTGGTTTCCGACGGGTTTGCAATTGACATGTATTCACTTGTTCGTGTCTCTTTTGGTAGACCTGTAGGTCTTGCTGCAAATGGGTGAAGCTGTTCTGTCAGATGTCGCCCTCAAAGAAATGGGTTCCATTAAACATACCGTCGCGGTCTTGTTGCGCTATTTTTTTTTGGACCTGGTGTGATCACGATTCAGACCCCGGACCCGAGAACCCACTCCAGCTTCATCTCTATTAACTGTATTCGGTCTCTCCTTCTCACACGTCTTGTTTGTGGGACTTAACTGTGATCTTTCCCATTTCCAAGCATATCGCTCTGCGAGGCCATTGCCGCAGGATGACTGCAAGAAGGGGACGACATCGCGAAGCCTTGTTTCAAAAGGGTGCTTTGGATTGTGTGTGAGATCAGAAGTAACGGTTTCATGTGTACCTGATTGTTGTCAATATTTTCGTTCTGGAAGATAGTCTTCTGATTTCTTTTTTGGCTTTTCTCAGTTTATGTGGCCTGTTGCCATGACCGGAAACGTTGGACTTATTTCTCCACCTGCCAGGTGAGGGTTACTAGATTTTACCATGGCTGCGCGGGGGGGACGGAGGGGGGTGGGCACTGCCGGACCTCAACGGCGAGCTCCAGATCCCAGTGGGCAACGCCGGACCACAACGGCGAGCTCCAGATCCCAGTGGGCAACGCCGGACCTCAACCGCGAGCTCCAGATCCCAGTGGGCACTGCCGGACCTCAACAGCGAGCTCCCGATCCCAGTCAACAACGCCGGACCTCAACCGCGAGCTCTCGATCTCAGTGGGCACTACCCGGCCTGAACGGCGAGCTCCACATCCCAGTCGGCACTGCCGGATCTCAAGGCCAGATAGAATGTCAGATAGAATGTCAGATAGAATGCAAGATAGAATGCAAGATAGAATGCCAGATAGAATGCCAGAAAGAATGCCAGAAAGAATGCCAGATAGAATTCCAAATAGAATGTCAGATAGAATGCCAGATAGATTTCCAGATAGAATACCAGATAGTATGCCAGAAAGAATGCCAGATAGAATGCCAGATAGAATGTCAGATAGAATGCCAGAAAGAATGCCAGATCCTGATGCGTGTCTTTCTTTCTTGCTTTCTTTCTTTCTTTCAATAAAAACCATAGATTTTTTTTCTAGCGTTCATTGCGTTAATTGAATTGGTTGCGACTCGGCGTTCCCAGCATGGGCTGCGCATAATCTTGCTGTCTGCCTTTCTGTCTGTCACTTATCTTTTCCTTGCTTTCCTTGTTTGATGCAGGTTTAACAATCGCTATGACAAGGCGTGGAATCAGAAGCTCGGTCGAAACTTCACGACCCCCATCCCACAGTTCAGCACGGACGGATGTGTGATTTACTGATGCTGTTCCATCTTAACACAATCTTTACAGATTTTCTCGTTGGCACAACCTTTGAATGTTTGCCCGCTTGAAGTGACATGTCTTGATGGACTTTGCTTTCTCATCTTTTCCTGGTGCTGCATTGCCCTGTGTTTCTCGCTCCTCCACTGTTTCTATCCCTCTCTCTTTCTCTGTTACTTTCCGTTTCCTTCTATGTCTCCCTTTCCCGAGGTTGGATCGCAATCGCGTCAAGAAATCCGTTAAGTGCAGGGATTTCTCCAGAGGAGACTGCCGAAGAGGAAGTCGCTGCCGCTTTGTGCACGCGACGGCAAAGGACATTGGGTTCATGGATGAAATTTGCTTTTCGACAATGAAGCACAGCTACTACACTGATTTGTATGACCCC